AACTAGTCAAATAGTACTTCCACGATCAACAACTTCTGCAAATTTTTCAGGAAGTAAGCGCACAATATCTTTCATTGCTCAGATTTTTTTATATAAAACACCATAATATATTTAGATTCAACAATACAACAATCACAATCAAATGTATTTCTATTAAATGATCATTTACTCACACCTGTACAATCTCGTAAGCATCGTTTCCTAAACGACCTTATATTGGAAAGTTGTTTATTTTGGTTAAAAAACACAAAAAGAAATGTATTTTTGCGAGTAGAATACAACTCACATTCAACGTTCGTAATAGAGTTGAAAAAAGTTACAAAGATCCTATTGCTCAATGGGATAATCTTATGTGTTATTTGTCTTGAAAACAGAAAACGGGCAAATGCAAAAGGTTTCGTAATCTTATTTATTTGTCATCGAAACGAAATCAATCAGTAAGTCGTGAGTGACAGTACTCACGCTTCTTTTACTCACATTACTTTTCTCACTCTGATGAATGTTCTTTATTAACGTGAACAATATCATGCGTAAAACACATATTTTAAGAGGGAACCTAATATATTCTAGCCAGCTGCAATCATTAGGGGCAATCTTAGGGGGCATCAGTTTGTCTCTAAACGTTTTTCCTCCGCTTTACTTTATCTAATGTTTCTAGTTGAAAAATAAAAATTTGAGAGTTTTCCCTTCTTTTTTATTTTACGTTTATAGGAATCTCATATGACGTATATACAGTACATTTCATTTCATTTCAGAACCAGCTACATGTATAACAAAGTCATCTTCCGATGTAACTTGTTATTCCACATGCAGCAAGCGCATCGAAAAATGCACAGAAAGAACTTGCAAGTCCGCAAGAAATTGTTAAAAGTAAAAATTACCGAAGAAGATTAGTAGAGCTATAAATAAAGTACAAAACAATAAACTTTGACTTCCATGTTTGTTTGTTTTTTTAGATACAACTGTTTGTGATTCCTATGGTAATGGCCGAAAAATTATTAGTTCTAGTGCTTCATTATGTATCGCTCTTTGTTTTATGCTAAATTGTGAATTAATTTTCAACAGATGTTTTTTCTTTTAACTTAGATTGTGAAGAAAGTGCACAATTTCGTGAACGACATTATGGTACTAACGATTCTACAGTTTTGCTAGATTTTAACAAGGTTTCAGAATGTAAAAATGTTCCAACAACATCAGCATCAACTACCAACAAAAACACATGAAGAAATTCAAAATCAAGTGTTAAAATTCAAAAGTAAAAGTGAACGTTTATCATATGAAAATAACATTACCAAATTACGGCAAACTGGTCGTTCCAGAACAAATTTTTCGACAAGTGAAATTCGTGAACATTTTCAAAGTACACATCATTTATTTTATCAAACGAAAAACATTTGACATTAAATGATAAAATTATGCATTATTATTAATTATTTGGTACCGAAGAAATTGCATTACATTTTTTTCTACTTGGTGTAAACCTATTTTCCAGCAATTTTCGAACCCAAAGACCGATTGGTCCCGTTTTTGTTTGGATACTCGCATAATTACTATTATTGTTGGTATCAAGATCAAATCTGGACAACGTCTGAGATGTGATTCTAAGAATTTGTATTATTATATTAGATGTAAGAAGTGCGATGACGAATATGTAGGACAAACTAGCATCCAGGTGAGAGAAAGATTCTATCGCCATACATCACAAATGTGTATCATTCGAACTACCTCAATAGGTAAACATTTTAGCGTGAACGGACACTCAATTAAAGATGTTTTCATCGTCCCGTTTGTATATATACACACTAGTTTAAATATACACACAGACATTTGAACACTATGTGACGGACGTACACACAGACAGTGGACATTGTGTGACGGAGGTACATACACACAGAGATATTAGTGTGACGGAAGCACATAGACACAGACATGTATATTGGGAGAATGTACAGTCACATATTGCACTCTCTCACTTTCATCTTCTTTTCTCTCTGGTATTTCGTATATCATTGAAATATTCGTTTTGTATTTTTTCGTGCAGACACACATTGGCATTTGATATTATGAAAATTACGTTTCAAATGGAACAATTAATTCAACAGGCTCTAGGTTCAGTGTTGCACAACATGACGAACGCTCAACTTCGTCGTTATTCTGATTTAGCTAAAGAAGACAGCGCTATGTTAGAAGAAATTCGTTCATTAATTATGAATGAACGAAGTTGTCGAAGTCGCCATCATTTAACATTCATCATTAATGTTAAATGATGGCGACTTATAAACACGTATAATTAATGACATTAGACTTTTTCAAATATTTCAAATTCTATTTCTCTCCAGATGTCTGGGTATCAGTCGAAAAGAAAATTAAACTCAAATTCTTCTTTTCGTGTCACATTTACTCTATATGTCTATTTACTTTCACTTGGTTTCTACCTATTGTTTGTATTGTTTGTTGTGAAGATAAAAAAGTTCTTTCATATTTTCTCTTCCATATGCTGCCATATATCGAATGTTCATGTGTTAAGATAAATAAATTCCATACTATCTATATTCGTCTAGAATTTAAAACTTGATGTACGAATATGTTCAATTATACCGATATAATCTTGAAATGAATGGTTTCAGAACAGATATTAGATTACTTTGTTGGTGAGATTAAAAGAATAGTACTATAGGAAGAATTTAATATAAATAGGAATTGATTAACAGCATGGTTCAGATTTGTCATTAAGTATCACTTACTAAGGATCATGGGAGAAAGTGCTGAGTTTTTTGATTTTGCATCAATTTTAAGTCAGATTTAAACAATTGAAAAATTTCTTCGAATGTATATACTATACGTATATCTATATTTCGAAATAAACGGAAAAATTCTTTCTCGAGAAGAACGGATATCCACTAAACAATCTTCTTTTGATCCTAAACAACGCAGTTTTGCTCTCGTACGTTGGGTTATTCCAGCTGAGAAGATAGTTATACAGTTAACTTGTACTTTCTATCATGCAAAGAAAAATTGGTATATTAATTGTTCCTAACGATATTTTATTTCAAAAAGCTACACGTTCAGATCAGTTTCCATTTTTGGTACACTCTGCACAATACCAGGTTTAAAGTACTAATGGTTGATCAAGTATTATTGGAAAGTCGTTTTGTATTTGTCAGTTCTTTTTATGCTAGTTTTTGTTCTGCTTTGATTAAATTTTCGAACAAAATATTTCTGCACATTTTTGTTTTTTTGGAATTTCTTATTAACTTTATCACATAAAGAGAGCTTAGAACCAAAAGGAGACTGTTTAGTGAATATCCGTTCTTTTCCGATCTAACTGTAATTGACAAAAATTCTAATAAGATTGTGTAGGAAAAGGATCTAGATATTTATGGTAAACTTCGTTTTTTTCTGAAAGGCTCATTCCACGAAAGTTTGGATTTGAGAACTGCTTTTTTGCTCATTCGAACACAATCCTTTTCTCTTTCTTCAGATCTTACTTGCAGAAAAGTAATAAATGGCATACTCGTTATCGTCTGAGGCAGTTAGAAAATCAAGTAGTTCGTCGAAATGCCTGAAACCGGATTTAGAAGTTTCTAAACAAATATTTTCGCGTAAGAACGAATCTTGTGTAGCGCGAATGGTGCAAACATCCTCAATGGACGAATTTTTTTCTTTCTGTGTATTTCGTTGTTAAAAACTTACGTTGTTTTACCGATCATAAATCGATATATCATTAACAGACGTCTCAGAATTTAATCAAACACTATCAATGGTAGAAGATCTTATTGTAAACAATAAACTTTGTTGTTATTTTTCGTATATCAGCGATTCAGATTTATGGGAGGGAAATTTTTTTCCCCTCAAGCCCCCTCTTCCGGCAGAAACCTATCTCCGAAAGTATACGTTCGATCTTGACAAAAAGTTTCAGAGAATGTTCGGCATGCCAAAGTATGGTGACGAAAATTTTTTTCATTCCACCCATCATCATCCGTGAGATATCGCCACAACAGTGGTCGAAATGGGGCTGTTGGTGACTGCTAGAATTCTCCGTCAAAGTACGCGATGAAGAGCTCGGGACGACCTGAAGACGACGAAAACACATGTACCCAGAAGCTAACAGAGCCGGATTTTTGATATTTAACTTTCTTAAAAAATAGTAGGTGTTAAAAGTTAAAAGTACGAAAAAGTCTCATTAACTTGCACAAAGCTGCTTCTCTAACCACAAATGTGCACTGAATATTAAAAATCGAGCTCTATTAGCCTCTAGTCACAGCTGTTAGCTTCGGTTTAACCCCAAACCCATCTCTCAATGATGTTTTGTTACCGAAAAATCTTGGAGCTATGAAATGCTGTGAAGGTGAATGTCGCTTTCGAGATAAGGTGGCGCCAGCATCTGATGTATATTTTACAGCTTCTAGTGAAATCCTCATAACGTTTGATCAAGACATCAGCTGAAGCTGGGCGATATCTTATTTTGATCAGAAATGTTTCCTCTAAATTCTAGTGCTGTGAAAAATATTTTTGGATTTGTCTTTTTAACAGTAGGTGGAATGTTTCGAAAAGTCAGTTTTCAAGGCTTTCAGAAAACTTTTCTAAAAACCGTCTTGTACCTGTTATATTCAACATTTAATTTGAATCTTTTTCACAATAACAAAAAACCACTGACTCCGATGTCAGAAAAAAAATGAAAACCAAAAGACGGAAATGTAGTTCCCTTTTATCTATATCAAGCAAAAATGATAAGAAAAGCGAAAAAGATGAAAAGCAGTGACGAAAGGCATGCATGACACACTCACTAAAGCTTTAGGAATGCTGGCATTCCTAACACCTCCACCTCCCCAGAACAGCTGTGGTAGGTTTTGAAAATGCAAGTGCAGTTGTTGGTGTTCTGTAACAAATTTTGAAACGTTAAAAAGATATTGTAGCATGACGTTTGGAACATAAGCTGCCACCATTATATATATATATATTATGCAAAATGAATTAATATGGCGTATATGTGTAGTAGACTATGACTGCATTGGTGAATTGTAGAGACTCGTAGGATGATGACTGGATGGTAGTTGATTTACAGTTGGATTTGGTGTAAAACCTGTGTGAGCTGGTGATTGTAGCCGTGCGGATTTTAATGCAGATTGATGTGGGGTTCGGTCACGAAGAGAATCAGCTAAACGTATATGTAGTGGAAAACAGCATTTTATAATACCAAATTTATATAATACAACGATAATTCCACATAGTATAATTACGGCAACAGCTAAGATGACCCGATCCTTCCAAGAATTCACTTGGAAAGACTGATGGTAATCAGTCAGACCCTGTTTAACATCGGCAATAACATTTGTAATTTGACAATTTTGTTGGTTATTTTGTTGATTTCCAAGTGTATTATCATCACCGGTTTTTTGGCCAATCATTCTGTCTCGACGAAATAATTTAGATGTCGTAACTAATGTAAATGAAACGACCTGCGTCATATCGTTACTTATAGTAATGTTGTTAATGTTGGAAGTTCAGACGTGCTGTTTGTTGAAGAATACGTAACAAACGTTGGAGTTGAATCCAGTAATATGTGGGTCGTGTCATTACAATAGAAGCTTTTGGTAGATCGAAGGAGAGGATTGGTTCGCGACCAAACATTGATTGAAACGGAGTGAGACTGGTAGAAGCGTGAGGTTCCGTATGATATGCGAAAACAACGGCTGGTAGAAATTCATCCCAATCATCTGTATTGTCTGATTGTGATTTTGCGAGTTGTGGCCGGAAGCTGGCGTTGAAGCGCTCGACTTGGCCATTTGTTTGCGGATGGTATGATGTAGATTTAATATGATGAAAACCGACTTTTGTTGGTCCTGCGTTTAGCAGATCATTGTCAGGTGGAACATCTTATATTAAGTATTATTTGTTAGCTTTTCGAACGACATAAATACTGTTACTATTCACCGTTGCTGTTTGGCTTCGGGTATCATTGTTCTGACGGCGACATAAAATGAGTCGTTTTATCGTTACTCGGATTTCTGATGACGATATGCAGTAAATGTAGAAACTGCACGAATTTTTAAAATAAAATAATAACCGTGCGATCTGTATAAACAAATTCTCTTGCGCATTTCTTAACGGATCTTTTTTAATATTATTTGTAATAGCTGTAGATATACTTTGTGTTCAGTAGGGTATAGATGATATAACGACGGGCAGCAATTTGAAGTAGAACTATCGATGTTATCTGTTTTTCTTGATTGACAAAATATGTAACATAATTTATATAAGCGGGCGAAATGTAGACACATGATGCGACTCTTGAGATATCAATAGAGAATTGTTGGACTTATTGCCAGTGTCCAAAATACAGCTGTGACGATAATCAATAGTCGAGCATTCTCACGTGAACTTAATCGACGAAGATGTGCTTCTCTTAAGCTGCATACATACCGATCAAACGTTGCCAAACACACCAAAGTGATAGATGAAAGTGGGGCAACCTGAGCCATATAGTTTCGAATTTACAATAATCTCGGTTTGTCGTTGATGGGTCAATATCAAATCCATCGGCCAGAATTCGTGGTAGTAACCTGACAACCAATTGTACAAAATCAAATACAGACGAAAAAGCTAGATATTGTGAACATGGACTTTTTCGTAAAGATTTTCGAGAAAAGATTATTATGTTCAACATTGAACCGATCGTTCCCAATATTAATAAGAATGTTCCAACGTAAACATTCAGTCGACTTCCTATTGTATTCAACAATCTTACATACGACGATGATGAGAAGGCCATTCTTTCCTTTAGAAGAGGAACTATTGAAGTAATTAAAGTTAATCAAGGTGAGCATACATACATTCATTTTTATTTAATTAACTGGAACATATGCAGAGACGGTACGAAGGAAGTTTTTAATCATCCTCAAAATGAACATTTTCAACGTTCTTCAATCTGGTGCAGAATACATGCCGCAGTCTGAAAATAGAAATGGATGCGTAATAAAAAAACGGCCTCTACAGAAAACATAAACTGAGTTTTTCATTTGTTCCAAATGGGGATCTGATGTAAGTTCTCAGAAAATGTGCAAAGGTGCTTTTCATTTTTCGGAAGAACAGAAAGTGAGTTTTTCATTTTTTTAGATCCCTATTTGGGACATCTATTTTACAGAAAACGTCAGGTCGAAAAACACACTACTGCTCTTCGTTTTCTCAAAAAGCTGCATCTGAGGTATACTCTAAGAAAATTTTTGTTTTCAAATAACAAGTAGACGATCTCATCTAAGGGTGCCCCTCTCTCATTTTCGACGCTCTTGAAAATCGGGGAAGCCGATGTTTGAACGGGGTGAAATTTATATCACAGATAGAATATCGAAAAAGAAAATCGAAGTATTCTTTTTAGAAAGATATTCTTAGAGATATTGGAAAAATACTAAACATCCTGTATAAAATATGTTTTATTCTAAAAACCTTCTCACGCGAAAAGTTGAAATCGACACTGTTTAAAA